TACATTTATTAATTGTCCAAGCAATAATAGACAGCTGTTTACAGCTAACAATCATGAAACTGACCATGTGTTCCTGGGTTAGTAGAATCACAGTACTCAATCCTCCACCATGAAGAAATCGCACTCCAAATGCACAAAATGTATCACTGAGGTGCAATGCAAATTTGTTACAGATGTCCCCATGTGCATTTGCACAATTACTCTCCAAATAGGACTTCATTAATTACTGAAAGAATCATCAAATTAGCACTAAAATGTAATAAAAACACAAGGGATTTGTAAAACTAAACGAACGGCACACATGGTTCGGCGCCAATAGCCTTGTGGCCAGTGTGCCGACATACAGTCGTTGCACTACAGCTGTCACGGGTTCGAATGCCGACTCAAGGACCTTTCCTGATCCCGCTCCCTATCTCTCTCCCACTTCACTTCCTTTCAGTTCTGATCTGTCCTATCGTAAATAAAGGCAAAAATGCCAAAAAGCAATCTTAAAAAAAAAAAAAAAAATTCCACATGGGCCTCGTCATTTGTAACTTACCTTGTAACTTGACTGTCTCTTTGTTGTTCCTGCTTTCAGTGGTGGCAATTTACGACTACATGCAGGACAAGGAAGATGAATTGTCTTTCCAGGAGGGGGCCATCATCTATGTCATTAAAAAGAATGATGATGGCTGGTTTGAAGGTGTGATGCACTACACTACAGGACTCTTCCCTGGAAACTACGTGGAGTCCATCATGCACTACACGGAGTGAGAGTGTCCTCAGTCTCTCCCCAACCCTCGACGCCCACCAGCGCTAATCTTACACTGCAGAAGAGTGCATGTGTGCATACAAACCATGCTAATAACAGGCCGTGAGACTTCAGAGATGAGAGGTGCAACAGAAAAGAGGAAGCGATGTGAAGCTGAACATCCAGATGTTGCAGACCAGACTTTTGCACCAAGGACTGAGGAAACACTTAGAGAAATAAAATTATATGAATAAAAGCCAATAATATGTTTACTGTTGAATGAAGGATACAGAGTTTGAAGTTCAGGATATGCATGAGCTAGATTTAGTGTGGGTACATTTTTATTTTTCCATATTTCATAACCTTTGCTCATTCCACAGAATTGCAGTGTTTTGGAAGGCAGGACGGGGGCTGACTGATGTCTCTGAAATGGATTGTTTTCTGAACGGCCTGAGGTGTGTTCAGGGTGTGCTTTACTGTGAGGGCAGGCTCAAAAAGGGAGTTTATTACATTCATGTGTTTTAAGGAACAAGCAAAGTGTGGAACTGAACAGAAAGAGTGAATATAGAGAAGTAGCTTTCTATTTATTACATGTTGTGACAGCTTAAGGTTTTTTAATTTGTCTCTGTAAAGTGTTTTGATTAAGTTATTGATTGATTTATTCTCTCCCATCTAATTAAAAATCAGTTTGAGCCAGATTGATGATATAGGAAATATTTGCACAAAGGTCTCACCTTGGTTTTATTTTATTTTTTTACTTAATCATTAAATATATTTAATGTTTATTAATTCCCCCCCCATGAGAATCGGTCAGCCCCAACACACATGCAGTACTAGTCAGATCTAGTAACCTCATGAACTTAAAACAGTTTTACTTTTTTGTTTGTTTGTTTGTTTAACATTTAAATATTGTGTCATGATGCTGACCATTTGGTTAATATTTGATAAGTGTATGTAGTGCTTCATAGACTGCATGCTTAATAAAAATGAACCTTATTTACATTTTTTTTTTTTCCTTTCACATTTTATTTATAGGGTTCCCACAGTCATGGAAAACCTGAAATATCTGTAGTAGTGATTTCCAGTCTTCTCAACATTTTCTACAGTTTCTAAAACCGCAACTATGCCTGCATGAAACATCTTTCTGGTTGTGGGACATTTTGAGACATTTACGCAATAATATAGTTTGTCTATTGATTCATGTTAGTACCTGACATTGAAAAATCATCCAATAATCATGATCATCTAGAAAGAAAAAAACATGTTAAAAAGTGTTAGAACCCCATATTTAATTAGTTCATCACGTTTTTGTTCTTGATGACCTCTTATACACAAAGACATTCATGTTACATGGACAGTAAGTCCAAATATTACAGTATTAATTTGGGTGCTGTTTGTGTTTATGCTAAATGTATTGTGCCATTTTGTAGTATTATTGAAATGTATATAAGCTACTATTTGACAATCACTGATCTCTCTTTCTCCAGCTACTAAAAAAGTTTTCCATTTTGCAGGTCCTAAAATAAGTGTGTCCATGTTGTGTCTCTCCATAGTGAAATTTAATTTGAATCTTATGTAAAGAACAGATGGCTGTTGTTTAAAGCAGGGTAGAGCCAGGTGAGCGTATCTCTCTACCCAGCAATACCTGGCCAAATGTGATGTTTAGAGGGATAATTGACCTCTGTCTGAAAGCACATCACTCTGAACACCAGTGTTGACATATATTTTAATAGAGTAATTTTTGTAAACAATTAAACCCATTAACTCTATATTGTGTGCAAATATAACTGAATAAAAAGTATGGACATCAGTATTTCCATGTGTGAGAGGATAACACTAATGTGCAAAATCTCTAATGTTAAATGTGAGCCTTCCTTTTTTCCCAGTACTAGAACTTTCCATGCGAATTGTTTGATGGCTCTTCCAAAACGGCACTTGCTCAGAGCTTTCTTAGTTAACAGAAATGTTTGACCTTTGACATCAGACACAAAAGTGTACAGATCCAGATATTGTTCAAACGTGAACAATTGTGCTGATGATAAGCTACATCATTTTTTTTTGACGACTTTCTATGCTGTCTTGATTGTGTTGCGGAAGTTTATAGTGAAATGTCTTCTCCTCAGATGGTGTTGTTATAGTGCAGAGCCCATGTTCTTTTTCAGACTTACGTAACTTGGCAGCGAACAGGGGCCCAGATGGCTCGAGACGTACGTAAGATTGCTGGAGGTTTGCACACTCAGACGCCCACAAGCTGTTAGCTGCAGAGAAGACTTGTTCTGCTTTGATGAAGCTACGAGATTCTCAACATATTTATATCATATACAGGCTTGTTCACGTCTTTATATAGTGTTATTTTATTTTTAAAGTACTAAATAGCTGCAGTATCCACACAACAAAAATTGCACCTACACAAGGAAAGAGGAAGTGAATGTTTGTGTGAAAGTGTGAAAATCAAACCTCAGCTCCGTGAAAACAAGATATCAAATGAGCAGTTCTGTTTAGTCGGAATCAAAAGTGAGGCGAGAAAAATGCACAGAGTCAGCAGAATATTGGTGTTCTATAGATGTTATCCACGTGAGAGTGGAGTTATATCCCAAGGATTACATCTCAGTATCTTTCTGTACGTTCGTTTCAAATCAGGATAATGTTATAGAAATTCCATTGTCATATTTTTACTATAACGGTTTGGTAACAAGTGAATAAAACCACATGAAGACACGAGTCAGCAATACTAAACTTAAAAAAAAAATTATGATAATTTCCAGGATAAAAGGATTGATCTCAAATAACAGGTTGTGGCAGGCTGTCATGTTTTATTATATAATTTCGTACAATTAAATCTGTTAGCCAAAAAAGTTTTCGTACGTTTGGTTACCTTTAACATTTTTTTATGATTAATTTTGAATGCTTTATGGAATAATTAAGCCAAAAATGAAAATTTGCTGACGTTTTTATTGTCTTCATCAGAACAGATTTGAAGAAAAGTAGCATTACATCACTTTCTCACCATTGGATCATCTGCAGTGAATGGGTGCCGTCAGAATGGGAGTTGATTAAAAAAAAAAAACATCACAATAATGCACATGTAATTCACACAACTGCAGTCCAAAATTAACGTTTTGTGAAATGCAATACTTTTATGGCAGGTTCCATTGTGACAAATTGCCCCGTATAGTGTGACAGTATATTGCTACTGAGGCAATAAGCTGTCTCCTTATTTCTGGGCAAAGATGATGGAAAAAGTTCAATAGCTTTTCTTTTTTTTAATCAGAGACAAGAAAATATGTGCATGTACAGAAATTGACACTAAAGTCAAGAATACATCCACTGTGAGAAATATTCACCGAGTAAAAGCGTGACAACCAGCCCAGTCTCTCCTGGCTCCCTTTAGCTGCTCAAACACGTCATATGTCTCTGAAAGTGTTCAATTTACTACTGATGAAAATTAAGCATGTACAAATGAAGGACATGTACAAACAGATTAAGCATGTACAAATTAAGGACAACGAGTGATGAAAACACATGACACATAGTCATGTTTTAAAAAAATGTTTAATGTACATTTTGCACAAGCCCTGACATTTCAAAAAGCCACATATATGCAGCCATTGTGAAATAATCATCCAGCATTTTCAGACTCTAAACCATAATGTCTTCAGGTTTTATGAAAAGCTCAATTAAAACTGCAAAGCATTTACTTTGTGGTTAAAGCCAAGGCAGGGCTTGTGACATTGCATCGCTGGAAGATTGTTTACTGAGCACTGCAGTGGAGAAAAATACATTCACACAGTGAGAAGAGCAGAAGTGCGTTACAAAAGAAATCTAGAAAGAAAGAAAAAAGATGACACCAGCCTACATTCTGCTGCTCTTCTTTCAGTGCTGCTGTGTCTCAGGTAAGAAAACATTCATGATTTAATTAAGTTCATAAGATGGGGATCTAAATAAAGAATTTCTGGAAATATTATACGGACATAATAATGACTTCAATTCTTTAGTAACACTTTAGAAATGTTTCAAGTCATTAACAATCATATAGTGCTTAACATCATTATTGCACGTCTTATCATATAAAATATCATATATAAATAGTTTAATATGTGTAATGTACACCACCTTTCAGCATTCAGAAAAGAGGTACAAAAGTTGTCAGTGGGGTGGTACCTTTTTAAGAGGTACTCTTTTCTTTTTCCTTATTCACCCCTAAAAGATGCATATTAATACCTAAAGTATTAGTTCCTACATGAGAAGTTACTATAGAAAGAAAGAAAAAAGATGACACCAGCCTACATTCTGCTGCTCTTCTTTCAGTGCTGCTGTGTCTCAGGTAAGAAAACATTCATGATTTAATGAAGTTCATAAGATGGGGATCTAAAAGAATTTCTGGAAATATTATACGGACATAATAATGACTTCAATTCTTTAGTAACACTTTAGAAATGTTTCAAGTCATTAACAATCATATAGTGCTTAACATCATTATTGCACGTCTTACATAAAATATCATATATAAATATTTTAATATGTGTAATGTACACCACCTTTCAGCATTCAGAAAAGAGGTACAAAAGTTGTCAGTGGGGTGGTACCTTTTTAAGAGGTACTCTTTTCTTTTTCCTTATTCACCCCTAAAAGATGCATATTAATACCTAAAGTATTAGTTCCTACATGAGAAGTTACTGTTCCAGTGACAGCTTTTGCTCTTTTTTTCTGAGTCAAGTTTTTCTTTCTTTTCTTTCTTTCTCTCCCTTATTATGGATTAAGGACACATTCAAGTGATCAAAAGTGACAGTAAATGCATTTATTAAAAAGTTAGAAAATATTTTGGGATATTTAGCCTATATTAATATTGCTTCAAATAAATGAATGAACTTTCTATTCATCCAAAAATATTGGAAAACATTCATATTAATAAAAATGTCCATGGAAAGGCTACCGTTTCCATGAAAATATTAAGCCGTTCGACTGTTTTCCGCCCTGATAATAATATGAAATGTTTTTAAGCAGCAATTTAGCATGTATTATTTCTGAAGGATCAAGTGACAATGAAGACTGGGGTAATGGCTGCTGAAAATTCTGTTTTGCCATCACAGGAATAAATTGCATATTAAAACACAGTATAAAGTATATTAAAATACAAAACAGTCCGTGTAAACTGGAATAATATTTCACAATATTACTGTTTTTCCTGTATTTTTGATCAAAATAAACGCAGTCTGCTGAAAAAAACAGCTGGCTGGTTTTAGCTGGTCATCTAGCCTGGTCTAGGCTGGTCATAGCTAGTCAGCAGGCTGGTTTTAGAGGGGTTTTGGCCACTTTCTTAGGTGGTCAGGTTGGTCTTAGCTGGTGAGGCTGTGCAGTCTGCTGAAAAAAACAGCTGGCTGGTTTTAGCTGGTCATCTAGCCATAGCTAGTCAGCAGGCTGGTTTTAGAGGGGTTTTGGCCACTTTCTTAGGTGGTCAGGTTGGTCTTAGCTGGTGAGGCTGGGAGACCAGCTGGAACAACCAGCTAAAACCAGCTTTACCAGCCTGGCCAGGCTGAGACTAGCTAAAACCAGCTACTTCCAGCTTAAACCAGCTAAGACCAACCAGTTTAGGCTGGTTTTAGCTGTTTTTTCAGCAGGTAAGCTCAAGAGACTTATTCCAAAAAAATTAAAAAATATTACCAACCTCAAACATCTGAATATTAGAGTAACTACATTAACAGCTGACAGCTACTTGACTAGTTAAAGTTATGATAGTGTTATCATTTACTCTAATTAAACAGGGCAGCTTGGAAATAACTTCAGTCATCTGGCTAACCTGGCATTGAAGGTTTCTGTCGATAAAGTCAACAGGCAGTCCAGCAATTTCAACCTGCACAGGCCAACAAGCAGTGGGGTCCCGAAAGGTAATAATATGTACTTTTCTTTAAAAAAAAAAAGAAGATATATTAATTTCTATTTGATCTGCCAACAACAAATACTAGCGCTAGACTGCAGCCTCAGGAATCCTCTCAGCAAAACAAAGTCAAGCAGTTTCTCATAGTGCACTACCGCCCTCTAGTGGTTATATGAACAAGTCAACAAAGAACTGGGTTACACTTAACCCTCGCTAAAAATGTATTCACAAAAAACAAACATTATGCGACCAATATATAGCCACTTGCCCTCGTTCGGCTTCAAATCTGTATGCTGTTTTGATTAAACACAAAAGTTATTAAGTTATTAAACAGCATTCTTGACGTCTGTCAAGCTTCAAAGTAAAAGCACCATAAATGTAGGTTAATTTTAGGTTAGCCTAACGTTTGGGTTTGTAACTTCTGGCAAACAAGACTATAGCCTAAATAATCTTAGAAAGTCAAGGAAGTTGACCTCCCTGCTGAAAAAACAATAGAAACCATCACAAAAAAATTATAATGGTTTTCACTACAAATACCATTATAAACATTGCAAACATCAACTTTTAACCATTCAAAAATGGTTTCCTGTAGTGTGTTTTGGGAAATATTCCATTAAGATTTAGTGGTTTTAACAATCCAATAAAAGGTGACCAATTACCAGTAGTTCCCATTATATAACCAGTAAAACCATTACACATTATGTGATGGTTTTTCTTGTTTTTTTCAGCAGGGCTCTGTATGTTATCAAACATTAATACTATTTTGAAAGAAGAGCATTAGAAAACAGATTAAATGACAGACTCATTTGATATTTGTCATCGAAGATCACACTGGGACGTGATAATACATATGATATCCTGCTTGGTTTCGGAAGAAAGGAGACAGTCTGTCTGAAATATACCAGGAGACCATACAGGAATCATTGCCATTTCAAACAGGGACGTCTTGCGGTAAGACAAGGTTTAATGTTTTTACTGTCTCCCTTCTGGTTGTTGCAGGTCACACATACACTTCACTAATACCAACATCATACTAAGATATTTCTCACCTTTTCTTTTCTTTCTCAAGTCAAAGAAATTGTGCTCCAGTCTTGTGCGTGTTGGCAGCATTTCTGTAGCTCCTCTGGGCATCAGTTGTCTGGCTGAAACAGCTGCGCTTGGGTCCAGCTCAGAGTCCAGCAGTGAAGAGGTCATTATCCGGCGGACAGGACGGGTTCCTCTGGGCTCTTTGTCTTCAGGAATCATTCTGTGTCGAGGAGAGTTTAACTGTTCGAGATTACTACTGTGAGTTCATGAAATGTGATTAAAATAGACAGACAAACAGATAGACCTCCAACTGATGTTTCAAATAAAACAGTAACTTTACATGGAATTGTTTTGCTTTAAAAAGATACATTTTCAACCAAGAAAATACTATAATCAAATAATGATCTCCTTATTTCTCTGTACATTCTGTGGTAAACAAACAAGGAGTGTCTCTTATAAAATTAAATGTGTAAAATTAAAAGTGTGTGTAGTTAATTGCTGCAGTATAGCCTTAATCTTTTGAGCAATGTTCAACCCAAGGCACATTCTTTTACAGTTCCATCATAGTTTAATCAGGCATATAAACGTGTGCAACGCATATCTGTAGCTAGCTATATTTGTAGATTTTTAAAACATTATGCATGTATTATATAGTGTATTGTCCATAATGGACTAACATTGTTATTCATTGTACATCAGAGGATTCAGCATAAGAAGCTTTTAATTGTATGATGATAATAAACCATCAAAATAACAAGAACTTGGACAACATTCTGTGTGATTTACACATTTATATTGTTCACTTTAAATGTAACAGACATTTACTTCCCCATTTATTTAACTAAAGGTTCCTGACTTTAAGAAGCAGCATTAGCTCTGTACTCCTCCCTGTAAAGAGAACTCTATCTATTCCTAAATTTCATTGCTCAGCCTTTCAAAATTAAAGTCTTTTGGAGATGCAAAACCAACAGGTACATGTTTTCTCAACCTACGCATTCAAGTTTGTTAGAGGGATGACAATGATAGTAGGCACACAGTGAATTTTTTGCATTGTAAGTCAAGTAAACTTGACATGACACCTTTTATTTTGTGGCTATGGTCTTAAAACCCTACAAAGTGCTCAATCTTAGGCAACCATACTATGGAAGCATGCATGCTAGATTAACGTCAGTACATTGTGGCATTGCCATGACATGAGAAATAGATGTTCCAGATATGTGACACACTTTAATACAGCACTGAGTATAGACAGAGGTCAAAATAAGGAGAACGACATCACTTCCTACTGTGTGTGTTTCACTCATGCAGAGCTAACGCACATTGATAAAGTCAGGAACTGCAGCTGTATGTACAGACAGATAGCAATGTAACCAACATAAACAGACATCACATCCCATCCCATTCACAGGCCAGCTACACGCCGAGATGTACTCAAGCGGCAACAGGCTCATTTTCATCTTTGTCTAACATTTGGACATCTTCATGATAAGTAAGGGTCCACAGCAACACAACATAACAGTTTATCAATAACAATGGTAGCTGTTTTTTTTCTTTCTTGACATTTTAAGTGGAAGTTTCTAAACCATTTAAATTAAATGTGGAAAGTGTGGTAGAATACTTCATTTAGAATGTATGCTACACAAGTGCAGTTCCCACATTGGGATTTGCACATCTAATGACAAGCAAGGGCGGCACTATTACCAGGCCCTCGACCGTTCTTCTGAGAGTGGATCAACCAAATCACTCAGACGAAATGCGCACACACACAAGCATCGGTTCAACAACCCTGATTTTCTATTCACGTTTAACGTTTACAGTCAAGGGTTTCAAAACTAAACTTTAAAATAAGAATATATTTCAGGTATTAAATAATTTCATATAAAAAAGTACAAGTTCCCTCCCACCCCATTGTTCCACATATATTTTATCATACATATACATTATCCCTTTGCTCCTCACAGCAGTGTCCATGCAGTACCTATAATAACAATGTCAGTCTCTTTTTCTCCGTTTTTTGTATATCTGCTACACTTAATAGCAAAGCGGCACAAACACGCAGAAAAGCTTATGTATAGATGGTTTGGCTTTTTCATATTGTGGTTATAATCGGGGGTTAAAATGAGCAGTATTTTAATGCAGACATTTCAGCTGTTGAAGATAAACGGAGTGGAAAAGGAGAGTGGCATATCCGTACTCGGCACATGTCCCAACTACCACTCACTTGTCAGTTTAGTGTTTTGGTCCCGTTTGGGTGGAGCCGGCGGAGGACCCCGCCGTAATGTTGCATAGCCTGAGATGTTGGCGCTCATGTATCCGCCCTTTTTCTGCTGGCCCAGCAGCAGCTCTGGAGGAGGGGGCGGAAGGGCCATATCGTCCATGGTGGTTACTGGCTCCAGCTTGGCCGAGATTCTCGAGGACGTGAGGGAGCCATGTCGAGTCATGGACTTCCTTTTGAGAGTTCTGTTGAGGTCTTCCAAGAAGTTGGGCTGGATTGACAGACTGGCCTTGGGGGAAGTTGGTGGGATCTGAGAGTTAAAAGAGGACAGAGGCATCTGTTGAGGAGGTGGAGAAAGGGCAAGTGGCTCGGGTGGGCCACTGCTGCGGCGGTGCATAGTCGGAGGGGGCATTTTCTTCAAGGAGCTTTGCTTCCATGAGGATGTGGAGCTGGAGGAGTGTTGGGGTTGAGGGTTCACCACGGCCACTTTAGGAGCCCCGGTGTGCAGTTCTGATGGGAGAGGTGGAGGAGGCAGGAGTTCTGAGTCTGGTGGTGGAGGGGGAAAGTCACATTCGGGAGGAGGAGAGGGGAAGTCTGAGCTGGATTGCTGATATTGACCTGGCTTACCCTGGAGAGCCAGAGGCAGATTAGCCAGGTTGATCTTGCCTGGTTTTGGTGGTGCACGAAGACCTGCGGAAGAGTCCTTGGAAGGTGATCCTGTCGTAGAGGATGGAGTTGAGAAGGAGCTGGGAGGGGCTTGACTGGTTTGGGCAAACATGCTGACCAAATCCTCCACTTTCTTGGACTCCTGGTACTCAATAGAAGAGGTGGACATCATGCTGGAGTTGCGCTGTGGAGTTGGAGGGGGCTTCTTCCCTCCTGAACCAGTAGAAGAATTTGACGACGTCGATGGGGACTTCTTGATTGGTGATCCCATCTTGCCAGAAGGCTGTGAGGCAGGAGGGGGACTTGGAGCAGGAGGTGGAGGGAATTCAAGGGTACTCTCTGGTGGGGGTGGAGGAAATTCAGGAGATTGTGGTTGAGCTTGCCCTCCTGGCTGCCATTTTGGTTTGGTTTTTACCACAGGAGGAGATATGGGACATTTAGATCCATCAGGGGCGTCAGGGAACTGGTTTACAATCTGCTTTACAAGCGACTGGGTGGGAGAGATGGGGGCAGATACAGATGCAGCTTTGGAAGAAAGGCTATATTGCTTGGGAAGGATAGGTGGAGGTTGATTGGGGCTGTGACCACTGGAGAGGCTTTGTTGTTTCTTCATGGTGGCCAAAGGGGTTGGAGACAAAGAAGGTGGCACAGGGGAAATGGGGGAAATGCTGTGGGCGGGTTTCGGAGCCGTTTGGGGTGGAAACCCACCAGTGAATGTTTTAGGTGGGGCAGGTGGACCTGACTGCTGAGGGGGCGGAGAGAAACACACTGGAGGAGGTGGCGGAGGCTCTTCATCTTGTTGGACAGGTGAGAAGTCATAGGTCATATTAGGGAACTTTTCAGCTAAGAACTGCTGGAGCCCATTGGTGCTGAGGGGAGGTGGGTATTTTAACTGTTCTGGGGGTGGTGGTGGAGGCAAGTAGCCATTGCTGTGTAGGTGAGGTGGGGGTGGCAGCTGGTCTTCCTCTGGAGGTGGGGGGGCAGCGTATTGGGGGCTGAAGGGGGCATGCTTCAACACCGCCATGGCTGACCCTGGCACTGGCATCTCTGGAGGAGGTGGTGGTGGTGGGGGCGGAGGAGGACTGCTGGCAGTATCTGCCATATTATTCATTACAGGTTTGAGACACTGTGGGGGCGGTGTTGGGGGCATAGGTTGCTGTTGTGCTGCCAGTAAGGGGGTCTGTTTGTAATGACTTGGAGCCTGGGAGATGTTTTGCAACCTAGCGAGGGTGCTGTATTTAGTGAACATAACTGGGGTGGAGTGGTGCGTGGGGTTGGGGAGAGGGGGAGGTGCTGGTGGAGATGGTGGCGAGGAGGGGGACACTGGGGACACACCACTGTAGCTGCTACGAGATTGGAGAGATTGGGGCAGTTGGGGAAGTTGTAGAGGGTAAGAGGCTCTAGCATGCTGTGCTGGTGGGCCATCCATTCTCATCTGTGGAAATGACAAAAATGATTCAATTAGAACAGATCTAGTTCACATTGATTAAAATTTTTTTGAAGGATATATATTAATGGTGTGCAACAAGATATTATACAGACAGTGCAATTAAAAGTGTGAAATAACATGAAATGTTATAGGAAATGTTATAAAGTCTTAAGGGAGGAGCTAAGAACTGTTAGTATTAATTGAGATCTGCTCTTCCAAACAACCGATTAAGACAACAGCAATTCAGTGTGTGCATACATTTTTTTTTGTCGTGCTTACCTTCTCTGACAATATGTATCATTTATAACACATACCAAACCAAAACACACCAAACATCATAACAGGTTATTCATAATACAACACCAGTGCGCTGTCTGTTAAGAGTTAACAAAAACTATTACAGTAGGTGTCTCACATAAATTTTTTTGAAGGATATATATTAATGGTGTGCAACAAGATATTATACAGACAGTGCAATTAAAAGTGTGAAATAACATGAAATGTTATAGGAAATGTTATAAAGTCTTAAGGGAGGAGCTAAGAACTGTTAGTATTAATTGAGATCTGCTCTTCCAAACAACCAATTAAGACAACAGCAATTCAGTGTGTGCATACATTTTTTTTTGTCGTGCTTACCTTCTCTGACAATATGTATCATTTATAACACATACCAAACCAAAACACACCAAACATCATAACAGGTTATTCATAATACAACACCAGTGCGCTGTCTGTTAAGAGTTAACAAAAACTATTACAGTAGGTGTCTCACACCAGCCCCCAATTACCCAGCATTCAAAAAACAACTACGTTGTACTGCCCACCACACACATCATATCAGTGGTTAGTTGCTTTAGAGGTTCACATGTGAGGATTATATCAAATATAAACAGCTAGAGTGTGAGGTTTTATCACACTCCTAACCTCAATCCCCACCAATGTATAGCCTTTCCAGACTTGACATTCTCATCCTGGGTAGACAAACAGAGAAGGGACCAATTAACAAGTAATATATCTGGGGACAGTGCGATACAAGTAATGTCCCACAATTACCCAAAGGGCCGCTTAAATTGCCCTTGTCCTCTTAGCAATTAAACTTAACACTACTAGGACGTAGCTGACACTATGCCATATCCTACTTCAGCAAATTCCACTGACAGAGCATTTTAATTAAACTGGACAAAATCAGAACTATAATTATATCACTGACACCATCAAACCATACGAACCTCATTGTTTTCTGCTTGGTATATGCGTATATTTTCTTTCAGGTTTTCATTACAACTAATATAAAACAGATTAATGCTGATTGGTGTATTGCACATATTGTGAACCCTATTTCTTGAATATAATATTGCAAACAATAGATCTTTCAAAATGGATTAAGACACAGAAGAGATGATAATGACACCATGATGAAGAAACAGAGGTGAAACAAAGCAGCGCAAGTAAAGAGACTAGTAAAGTTCTTCAACGGTCACCTTGGGTTCATCTGCCTGATTGCCTCTCTTCCATGCCTCAGAGAAAATGGAGCTGACGACACTCTGAGAGCGCACATGACCAGAGGATGTGGTCTCTGACACACCGCTGTCTGATTGGCTGGAGTGGTTGGACTGAGATTCTGTTTGCATGAAAGAATCAAAAAGTTGACTAAATGGGTGAACACAGACAACATTACACAAGCCTGTTAAATCTCATTTGAGATTTCTATAGTTCTGCTGTTGCACTGCTGAACTCACCTGGTAGACTGGAGGAGCTGGAACCAGACTTGATACTGGAGCTGGAGAGGGAGGACCAGTCATGAGCGGCCTCTGTGCGTCTCATGGCTTCCTGGTAGTTCAAATACAGCTGCTTCCCATACTGCATTACAAATCACATAGATTCAGCCACAAAACCTAGCTACTGTATACACATTATACACCAAGCAGGGTGATGTCAGCATAACGAGACGTTACCTTGGCAATGCGTATTCCATTGACCCACTGATGCAGCATTCTGACATCATCACAGCACAGGTATTTGATGTACTGTGATTTCTTTTGAATCTGTGGGTGCTGTGTGGCGAAATCAGAGACGTTACCTATACTGATGCATTTTATAGTCTGCGTGTAAAGACTTTTTCCCTGTATTAGACTATGGTCAGAGTAAATTCAGCCACAACTAGCTCACAGTCTGATCACTAAATGTCTGATGCGTATTAAACACAAAACTCGCAAGCACTACCAAAAAAGTAAAACTGATTGAATGGCTTTTATGCAATTTCTGACCCATCCTTGAAAACAAAGTTCAGTTCAGTATCAGTTCGATACAATAAATGCTTCTTTGCCAAAGTGGGATCAAAAGTCTGTGTGATTTCTATGCTGTTAGTTGCTGGCTGATGTTTTACCATAATTTGAATTAGATTGTCTGGTATAATAAACTGTTTCAGATGAACTCATCTCTAAATGGAGCGTAAAACACATACTGTGTTCAGTCACTTTTCAGATGGTCTCTTTCTGTCTAAGTAGGCAGTTCTTCACAATAATAAACTGCAGTGTGGTCAATCCTTTATGCTGTACTCAAAACTTTGGCTATGTAAGAATAACGCCAGATAAGTTCAACAGCAGACAAGTCATGTCAAAGGAAAGCCAAACACTGACCAAAAACAGGCTATATTTATGTTCGTCTCACTTCTGTGGCTTTGATTTCCTTCTGAGGGTGTCTGCACAAACTGAAGAAATATGTTGTTCAGGCCAG